AGGAGAAGATAAGAAGGCACCCTGATCAAGGACCAAGACGGCTCAGGCGACGCATTTGACCGGAGGTGAAACAAAACACAAGAAAGCGTACGAAACGGACCAGATGTGGCGTCCGCCCAGAACGCAAGCCGGAGCGGCTCCGCCAGCGCCGCACAAAACGAGGCGACAGTAAGAAACATCAAATAAGTGTAGTCCTGAAAACCCAAGAAAGGACAAGACAACCCGATGCGAAAGAGAAGACAACCTACGAAGAGCAAGAAAAAGTGCATAGAAACACCAGGAACATCATACTGTTGCCAAGACGAAGCTCGCAGGTGGGACACCATCAACAGAGCCGAGGAGAAGGCCGAACCAGTTACGAACAAGACCAATCCGACCTGCCGAAAGAGGCGGAGCAGCGGGAAAACGCCTCAAGAGGAAGAAACCTCCGGAATGAAACCAAAGAACCCAAAGGAACCCGGAATCGAACCAGGGGGAGCCCAAACAACCACATTTGCCGGCAGAGATACACCACAGAAAGGCAAAGCACAGCCCCCAGACAGAACCCCCAGGGAAACCGAGGGATAAGGTGTGGGAGCAAGCATAACATCCAGGGACACTGAGCCCAAACCCAAGGGCCCAGACCCAAAACCGGAGAAATGGAAAACCCGGTGTAAAATCAACACTCAAACGTTCCCAGAGGAACAGAAAACGGGCAGAAAACACCAGAAAAGCAAAGAAACGAAAACAGGAGAATAAAACCCCTGAAAAATGGTGAAAACTCTCCCAAGACGCTCGCTCGCACACCCAGGCACATTTAAACAAACTGCAACGCCGCCCTGGTGGCCACGCCATGGAACCAGCAGAAGAAAATGGCCATCAGAACAGAGGGCTGTGCCCGACGCAAAAGATACAAAAACACGCCAGCAAAAGTGGGAAGCAAGCAGACTGGATGGGCGAAAAGCTCAGCCCAAAAGCAGACAACCCAGGCAGGGGCAAACCACCCCAGAACTGCTAGCAGGCATCCCCCACAGCCCCGGGAACCAGCAACAGAGGCCCCGGGGCACAGCCGTCCTCCAAGCCCTCCACCCTTAAAGAAAAGGAAGAGTACATGGGAAAGGCAGCAAGAAAGGGCCGCTGGTAAGACCCAAAATCCTTGGCAGGAGGAACAGGCTCGAAAACCTTCGTCCCCAACTCGAATGGGGCAGCCCCCGAAAACCGCCCGAGTCTCGGCCCCAACTAAACCCCGAAACCCACAGACGGTCCGGAGCCGGGAACAAGGAAGGGAAAGGGGCGAACAGCACCTAACCAAAACGGGGCGGCCTCGGGGCATCCGAGAGGGAAACCAATCTAGCGCATTGTAGCAACCTAACCTAGCTTGCAACACGGATGCCACCTGTACTCTGAACAGTAATAACATTAGGAGAGTACTGGAGAACAAGCAGAGAATCTCTCTCGCAAGTCTCCGGATCAAGGTGTCAGTGACCCAACAGGCAACATGACAGAGGTAAAAGTTGCGACTGTCACCCGGAGACAAGGGCACAAGGGAACTTCAAGAACAAGAGGTCATAGATTTAAACTAACGAAACAAAGCTGCCAGAGAAATATACGAAAATTCACTTTTGTAAATAGAGTGGTAGACGGTTGGAACAAGTTAAGTGAGAAGGTGGTGGAGGCCAAAACCGTCAGTAATTTCAAAGCATTAAATGACAAAGAGTGCTGGGGAGACAGGACACCACGAGCGTACCTCTCATCCTGTAACCACACTTAGGTAATTACAGCAACCAACGATCCCGTACAAGACAGGTTGGAACCCGGAAGACACATTCAATGGTCCACCGAGCCCAGACAGGGGTTTCCAGGGCCCGTAGGCTGACTGCTATGGGAAGCCCGGGCAAGGTGTTGCTAACCGGTTAAGAAATCCAAAAATAACAAGAGGGTAGAGGATAACACTGAAAAGTCCTGCGACGTGTACAATCATGGGGGCCTAGCAGAGCGCCACCAGGCAAATGAAAATAAAAATAAAACCCCCCAAAAGTACACAGTCTCCAGAGGCAACAGGAACCGGTCGCTGCTTAGGTGGCAGGTCGCGCAACACCTTGACGCCCTAACCAGCACAATACCAATCCCTACCCAAGGCCAAACAAGAGCCCCAAGCCCCAGCTGGCCCCAAGGGCGAGGCAAATGCCGAGCAGCAAGAACCTCGACGGGAATGGTTCCCGAACACTCCAGGGAAGATAACCCTGTTACGCAGGGGCAGTACTCACAGGGCACTTAGGGAAGGAAGTCCCTAAGCGCATGAAGCCCCGGCACTGATGAGGTACTCCTGGCCACTGCACAAAACAACACACTGCAGTGAACGCCACACAAGGCAAACACCGCCTAGGAAACTGAGGCCAGAGAAGCGTCTATCCCGGTTGACATTAGCTTACGAACTAAAGCTAGGCAGCCGGCGCGGTAGGTCCGGGGCTCCCCTTCCCCCTCTTGGGGCGGGGAGGGCTGCGCGGACGATCGGTGCGGCAGTAAAGTGTGATGTATGCTTGTTTGCTTGTTTCCTTGGGATTGTAGGGAGTTTCTAGCTCTCTGTTCGGTTTTTTGCTTGAGTTTTTTACCATGTGGGGTTTGTTTTGTTATGCCTACCTTTCTGGGTGCCTAACCCCGGTCGATGGCAGATAAGGAAAACTCCAACCACAAGGGGCTTTTCCAGGGCCATTGCTCCCTGAAACCTCTCTGAAGGAGCCAGGTTCTGGCGCTGGACCCTGGTAGGTCTGAACTCCTTAGCTAATGTCCCGGTCTAATATAACATACATTAGCCCGATAAGCTCCAGGGAGCCGTAGGGGCTCCCCACAGAAAAGCCCTTTTCTGGTCCCTAATCATCAAAACAACCTAAAGAAACAAGGAAAATAGAGTTTGAAATCTGTGAAAAAAATCTGCCCCCAAAAATTCAAAGTCCTAAGTTCTGAGAGTTGTAACTGATTTATTTGTTGACCAATTTAATTCTGGCTTCACATAGTTAGGGTTGAGTATGCATTCTCCAAGATGTAAAGGTTAAAACAAATTCAAATAATAAACAAAGGAGGAAAAAAGAACTAAAATCCTTAAAAAAATAAAAAAAAAAACATATCCCATAAAAAATATTTTTTGGACATTGTTGGAAGCAACTGATAATAACATTGGGCAATGTATTTATATGATATATAACAAATTAGAGCATAATAACATAATTATTCATTATTATTTGTATTATTATGTATTACTCATCTCTGCTATAAAGGCACCAGCTGTATATCCACTTTCTGGACACTTCATACTACTATTCTTCTTCTTTGTGCATTGGACATGTGCTTGCATATCTTTATTATTGCATTATCCATCAGATCCAGTTAATAGGAGCTGTTCTCTTTATCAACAAAACTTTTTTTTTTAAATATTCGTCTAAAATCAATTTCTGAAAATATTTTGATGAAAGTTTCATGAAGCTGAAGCCAATAAGTTGGAGATTTGTTTAACATTTTTAAGTATTTTTGACATAATTCCAATATTTTTTGAGCTTATACCCCCTTCAATGTCACACATCATATGATGTTTTGTGCAGTTTAAGGGTTAAAAGGGCATCAATTATTTATTATCTTTACCCAATTTTACACTCATTGTGTGGAGAGACAATTTTATAATTTATATTTTATATATTTTTATAACAATTAATAAATTATAACCATACAAATCTTTCCATGGCCACCTATAATATATGTATTCACATTATAAATTTAAAAGATAAACAAATCAGCTCATAATTAAGATAATTTAATAAATTGTATATCAATTAATACAATTTTAACCCTTAGATAGCAGCTATGGAGAAATGGTCATAATGTTGACCAGTCCAGCAACGAAGAGGCCTGGGCGAGGACCGGGCCGCGGGGACACTAAGCCCCGAAACCATCATAAGGCAAGGTAACACAAGGTAATGCAAGGCAGCAGGCGGAACCTGCCACCTATGCACAAAAAATATATAAATTCTAACAAGTAATTGTTCATTATAGAAGTATTAATTTGTATGCAGAATGTAAGAAAAACATGGTAATAAGTGAATATTTATAGGTTCCCTAGGTGGAGGCACCCCTGCATGGCTGAGTCTAGAACTTGTCAATGCTTGGTGCTCGACTATGATCACACTTCCTCTTATATTCTCCAATGGGTCACTGATTGTTTTATCACTTGTTTTTCTTTATTTATATCCACAGAGAGCTTTTACATCTGTATTTGCATCATACATGTAAAATCCAGATAATAATTGTTTAATAAACACTTTCCCTGGCCCGGTGGGCCACCTGCATCGCACCGCAAGGTAGGGCGGGCATTGCAGGTGAGTACACAACCCAATGTTAAACTCTTTCACTCACAATGTTTATACTCATTAATAAGGATAATAAACAATTAATGGATGAGGGCATTGATGTCATTTCCCAAACTGCATCATTGTTTGGATGACTGTGATAAATGTCATCAGGATGTCAAAGTGATAACACTTTGATGTCCTGATGACGTTATTTAAATTAAATCATCATATGATGACCGCATTTCCTTAGTGACATTCATGACGATAACTATGGGGAACTTGGTACGAACATTAGTTTGTGCCATGAAATGGTAGCAGGATTTTTTCATGGGTCAAGGTAAACTCCATTACACTGACATAGATCAATTATATCCATATGTGCATCATACATGTAAAACCCAGACAATAATTTGGTTAATCTTCATACCTTGATAACTGCATTACCCTGTGAAATAACAATTGATGATAACCACTGTCTAATGGTTAAACATTCAACACAGCAACTGGAAGTGATAAGTTAAAAAAAACTAAAGAAAAACACAATACCCGTATATGGAAGCTTATCCAAAATGAAATTTTCAGATATGCAAAAATTAGGAGAAAATGAATGTATCAAGGATGCAAATATATATTTTCCAGATATATTAATTTGGATATCCAGGAACTGTAATGTCACCTCACCTGTTGGTATCCTTCGGGGCATATGCACATGAAAGTTCCAATCAAATTTTTGCAAAGGAACCTGCAATTGTTTGCTGGAGTAGAGCACTCATCAACATCCTGGCAATGGCGACCATCAGGAGCCAAGGTGTAGCCATACGGGCAAATGCAACGGAAGGCCCCAGCCATGTTGTGGCATCGGAAGGCACACTGGTGGCCTAGTTCCTCACACTCATCCACATCCTCACATGTCTGCCAGGCAATATACAAAAAATAGCAGTAAGATTTATTAAATTAAAATGCAGATTAATGTACATATATAAACTACTGTGATACATAGGTAATATTCATTACTTTAAGAAGTCTACAATGACCCTTTATAAAATTTAGCTTTCAAAACACAAGGCAATAAGACATTGTATAGTCATCAAAACATCATAACCACATTTTCGATTTTGATTTTCATTTGATTTTCGGGAGAGTTCTCCATGGTAGATCCCCGAGCTACCCATATGGAATTCCAAACCTTAGGTACCACATAAAGCTTCAAAGAAAAACAGTGCCTATCAGAGACCAGGAAGAAGATGTTGGCACCTTCAAAGAGGCATAGGGAAGTCTGGGGATATAAGATCACCAGAAAGGTAGAGTGCACCAAAACATTCAACTGCTTGGACAATATCTGCAAGCCTATTTGAAATATGTACACACTCATTATCTAGGTCCAACTGCTAATTAGCACCACACCCATGCCAAGAGGTACCAGCCCCAGTGACTAGATGATCCTGGTCAGCCAACTCAGTCATTCATGACACCCACACATTCTCAAAAATATGAGAACGGCATTTAAGAATCTAAACAAGGAGGCTTTCAATTCCATACACACTGCCTTTGTGAGACCATTACTTGAGTATGTATCTCCAGAATAGAATTCACAACTTGTGAAGCATAAACAGAAACTTGAGAAAGTTCAAAGGCTTGTAACTAGATTAGTACCAGAATTGAGAGGCTTCAGTTATAAGTACAGGTTGAGAGAGCACACATTTACAACCATAGAGGAGAGAAGAAAAAAGGGAAATATGATAACTTCATATAAAATCTTCAGGGGAATAGATAAAGTGGATAAAGGAAGCTTATTTAAATTAAAGAGTGGTAGGACAAAGGGACAAAGGTGAAAACTGGGATTGCAAAAGTCAAAAGAAATATAAGGAAGTTCTCATTCCATGTATGGGTGGTTGGCAAGTGAAATGCACTGAAGGAAGAAGTTGCTGAAGCTAATTACATCTACAACTGTAAAGAGAAATATGCTAAAAACATTAATTATTATATATTTCTTTTTTCCTTTTTGGCAGGGATATTGTTGAGAGAGGTAATTAGCAAGCCAGGCATAAATGGCTAGAGGCAGGACAAAGAGGTAGATATCACTTCCCCAGTGACTGATAGAAAAACACTGATCTGGTCAAGCACAAGACTAAATTGAAAAAGGTTGAGAAGCTTGCCAGTAGACTGCTACCCGAGCTGAGGGGGGAGGAGAGCTGTGAGGAGAGACTAAGGCAACTAAACCTCAAATCACTGGAAGACAGAAAAGTTAGGGGTGATATGATCACCACATTCAAGATTCTCAGAGGAATTGTTAGGATAAATAAAGACAGTTTATTTAACACAAGGGGCACACAAATGGAAGTTAAAATATGAAATGCATTAAGAAATGATGTGGTGGAGGCAGACTCTATACACAATTTCAGGTGTATATGTGATAGAGCCCAATAGACTCAGGAACCTGTACACCAGTTGATTGACAGTTGAAAAGCGGGACCAAAGAGCCGAAGCTTAACCCCTCACAAGCACAACTAGGTGATTGCTGATAGGTAAGCACATCCACATACTGACACCCACACTCATACACCAACATGAACAATATAAGTAATTACAAACTTAGATAATTAATTACCCATACCAATTTTTGACACTTATACCCACTCCTGTCAACTACACACTGACATCCACACCCGATGACACCCCATATTAGATAGAGAGAGAAGAGAAAAGTAAATAATCTTTTCAACTTTGACATTTTAATTCTCGTCCTAGGTTTTTCAATTTGGTATCAATGTGTTTGCAATAGAATTCACTACAGGATTTAAGGCATATAAAGTCCAAAGGCCTGGCATATCATCTGCAACAAACAGAGAAAGTGAGAGCGTGTTACCCGGGAGCGCACAAGAGCAATAAAATGTATACACTCTTTTCACTTTGGTCACCTCAATTCTCATCCTAGGTCTTTCATTTTGGTATCATTGTGTTCTCAACAGAATTCCCTACAGGAGTATATGCATATAAAAGTCCAAAAGCCAGGTGTACTACCCACAGCAAACAGAGAAAGTGACAAGTGTGTTACTCCCGTGAGCGCTCATCAAGAGCAATAAAATGTGTATTCTCTTTTTTAATTTTGTTACATCAATTCTCGTCCAAAGTTTTTCATTTTATTATCAATATGTTTGTAATAAAATTCCCTACAAGAGTATATGCATATAATGTCCAAAACCACGGCACACCCCACCCACAGCCAAGCCGAAAGCATACCAATTTTTTTTTTTTTTTTTGACGCCATACTGCGTCATTACCGCACATTCGTCTACTAAATTTTTTACACCATACTGCGTCATCAATGAGCATTTGCCTGTTTGTTGAAAAAAAAATAATTCTGTGAACATAAAAATGTACAATTACTTGGCTTCATTGTTAACTGCATGTTAAGTTAACAAAAGTGTATTACAAATAAAGTGAATTTTGAAATTTTGTATTTAATTTTAAGAAAATAAGATATAATACCTATGCTTACATACTTGCATTGGTCCTGGTGCAAATCCATCTTGGCAAGAACACTCAAATCCACCCTCCACATTGCTACAAGTTCCATTACCACAGATGTTGGCAACAGCACATTCATTGTCATCTACAAAACAGGAAGAAACATATTAATTCAATTAATAACTTAAAGTTTGTCTCTACTTATCTTTATATGTTTTGAGAAATGTTTCTGTACTGCCATAAAAACTATAGTTACTGAGCTCAAGTGTAATGCATCAAAGTAAAATACTGTAAATTTTTAATAAACTGCAGATGTACCCTAATAGTCTTACATATTTGTGTTATCAAATTTTGATGGGAAAAAGGCATAAAACATTTTTAGAGGACTTTAAATCATCCTACACAGCCAACCATATATTTAATCCTCTTCTTCATATATTATGTCCAGATTTTGGTAAAACATATACACAAAGTTATTATTGAAGCTCTCAAGTATTCTAAAAAATTTCCTAAATATTAACTTCATTTACTATTCCATAACAAAATGTTAAAATGCAAATTTGGTAGTTAATTAAGCAACTATTGCAAGAATTACTAACCAATACAGCGCCGGCCAGAACTGTCAAGAACGTAGCCCATGGGACATTCACAACGGAAGGAACCATCAGTGTTGACACAATCACCTCCTTGGCATGATCCAGGCATGATCACACATTCATTCAAATCTGCACCGGACTCCGATCGCCCAGGACCCAGTGGACAAAGCTTCTCATACTCAGCTAAGGATTTTAGTAAGAAATTTCATGTATATTTTCTCATTTCATTATGACTTTCTTTCAGCAACACAGGCGAACTATATTTTATAATAAACTGGGTATTATTAGTTACATATATTTAAGCATCAAAGAATAAACAGTAGTAAGTAAATTAAATAACAAAGAAATTTGCAGTGGTATACCAGTAAAAAATATGATATTGAATTACATTAACCCAATCAGGATTGAAATAAAAAAATCTACATCACTTAGGAATCATAGGTCACCTTTAAATATCATACAGCCATACCTTGGCAATAAATACTATATACATCATTGCTTCTCTTACTTCCCTAATAAAACATAGGTGTCCTTCAGGGCAGTACACTTGGACATAATCTATTTCTTAAAACATTAGTAACTTATGCTTCTCAATTTCCTAAACTTATTTTATTTGTAATGACAACCTTTGTGTTCATTAATACCAACACACACACCCTAAATAACATAATAATGAGCAAAAAAATAATTGCACATATAGATGACCTCTAATTCTATAAGTTCATTAGTAGAATATAGAATATAGAATATAGAATATAGAATATAGAATATAGAATATATTCCACTATACTGTAATTCAAAAAAGCAAACCAATAAAATCACTAGGAAAAGGGGGAGTGAAAAATAAGGAGAGAGGGAATATGTTCATGAAAATTGTATACACCAACATAGATGGAGTGAGATCAATGATGCTGGAGTTAAGTGATGTAATACAGCTGCAGATACCAGACATTGTTGCACTCACAGAGACAAAACTTGATGATATTTTAAATTAGGTCATATTCCCAGGGGGCTAGTCAGTTTGGAGATGGGATAGAAAAATTAGGAAAGGCGGTGGCGTTGCTGTGCTGGTGAAAGGACACCTTAAGGTAAACAAAATAATGATTGCCAATCCATGAAAAGTTGACATAATAGTACTGGAGATCTGCAATCAGAATGATAAACTACGCAATGATCATAAATGTATATAGTCCACCACCATGCAACACATGGACAAAGGAGGCGCTGGATAATAAACAAGAGGATCTAATAACAATAATGAGAGAGATTATAGCAGTAGCAGATAAAGATATATCATGACTGTTGGTAGTTGGAGACTTCAAATCCATAGACTGGGAGGTATATGAAGCTAGAACAGGACTTTTGGACCTGAAGATTTGTAAACCTCATCCTGGAAACATTCATGTATTAACACGTTAAACAAGCTACGAGGATGAGGGAAGGGGATGTTCCCTCCATGCTAGATTTTATGTTTGCCAGAAAAGAGGAAAAGATATTTGACATTCAGTACCTTCCTCCCTTAGGTAAAAGTGACCATGTCCTTATGGGAATAAAGTATGCAATGCATTATAATCTTAAAGAAAATGAGGAAGTTGAAGCAGTTGAAAAAACCTGATTTCAGGAGAGGACATTATGGGGAAACTAAGAAATTTCTTTAAGGAATTTGACTGGAAAGATTTGCTGTTAGGCAAGGAAGTAAATAAGATGTATGTCAAGTTTTGTGAAATATGCAATAAAGGCATAAACAAATTTATACCAAAGCAGAAATGTAGAACTAAGAAACAGGATTGGTTCAACAGAAATTGCAAGAGGGCCAGAGACCAAAAGAGTCAAAAAATGGAATCAATATAGAAAGAGGCCAAACCCCAAAACATACCAGCGATAAGAAGATGTGCGAAAAACTACACGGCAGAGAGGAGAGTGGCAGAAAGGAATTTTGAGAAAGTGGACAAATGTAAAACAGAACCAGGCCTATTCTATAAATTCATAAACAACAAATTAAAGGTAAAAGATAATATTCAGAGGATGAAAATGGGAGACAGATTCACAGAAAATGAAAATAAAATGTGTGAAACATTAAACGAAAAGTTACAAAGTGTGTTCGTGCAAAATAAAATCTTCAGAGAACCAGACACAATAAAAATTCCAGAGAACAACACAGAGCACATAGAAGTGTCTAGAGATGAAGTGAAAAAAATGCTCAAAGACCTAAGTAAGAACAAAGCAGTTGGCCCGGATGGAGTTCCACCATGAGTTCTGAGAGTGTGCACCTGAGCTCAACATTCCGCTTCAACTGATTTTTAAGGCATCCCTGTGTACAGGAGTTCTAGCAGATGTGTGGAAAAAGGCTAACATAGTTCTAATTTACAGCAGTGCTGCAGTGAAGACCCGCTCAATTATAGACCTGTATCATTGACAAGTGTAATCAAGTGTAATAAGTCAAAATATTGGAAAAATAATTAAAACTAAATAGGTAAAACACCTCTAGTAAAATGATATAATAACAAACAGACAGTATGGTTTTCGACCTGGAAGATCCTCCATAACGAATTTACTCAGTTTTTATGATCGAGCCACTGAGATTTTACAGGAAAGAGATGGTTGGGTTGACTGCATCTATCTGGACCTAAAAAACCAGCGTTGAATGTAATGAAATGCCATTTTCTGGGTGAGCCCCGGAGGCTCCCTGGAGCTTATCGGGCTAATGTATGTTATATTAGACCGGGACATTAGCTAAGGAGTTCAGACCTACCAGGGACCAGCGCCAGAACCTGGCCCCTTCAGAGAGGTTTCAGGGAACAATGGCCCTGGAAAACCCCCATGTGGTTGGGGTTTTCCTTATCTGCCATCGACCGTGGTTAGGCACCCAGAAAGGTAGGCATAACAAAACAAACCCCACATGGTAAAAAACTAAAACAAAAAACCGAACAGAGAGGTAGAAACTCCCTACAATCCACAGGAAACAAGCAAACAAGCAAACATCACACTTTACTGCCGCGCCGATCGTCCGCCGATGTTTCAGGGCTCGGGGGAAACCCGAGCCCTGAAACAGGGAACGAGGGGAACCAAATCAACCCAAAGCGCATCCCCAGACACAGTACACAGGTAACGGCAAAAAGCGCAACCGGATAACACAGGACGCACCCCCGGCCAAACCAATCAAGCATCAATAACCCAAGAACCCCTCCAGAATGCAGCCATCTCAACTGTCGCCAGGACGGAGAAAGACTGCACACGTACAAACCTACCACCAGTACCAAAGAGCAGAAACCTGAACCGAAGGGGCTACCACAAACTGAGGAGAAGATAAGAAGGCACCCTGATCAAGGACCAGGACGGCTCAGGCGACGCATGAGCAGGCCGGAGGTGAAACAAAACACAAGAAAGCGTACGAAACGGGACAGATGTGATGTCCACTCCGAACGCAAGCTGGAGCGGCTCCGCTAGTGCCACAAAAAACGAGGCGACAGTAAGAAACATCAAATAACTGTAGTCCTGAAAACCCAAGAAAGAACAAGACAACCCGATGCGAAAGAGAAGACAACCTACGAAGAGCAAGAAAAAGTGCACAGAAACACCAGGAACATCATACTGTTGCCAAGATGAAACTCGCAGGTGGGACACCATCAACAAAGCCACCTGATCACTACAGATGGTGATACCCACGTCAAAATACCAGACGCGAAGAGTCGAGGAGAAGGCCAAACCAGTTACGTACAGGACCGATCCGACCTGCCGAAAGAGGCGGAGCCGTGGGAAAACGCCCCGGGTTCGGACACCTATCAAGCAGCGTCTGAAAATAAAGCTGGGCCGACCACCAAGGAACCATAAGGACTACTCTCTTGGGAATGAGCTCCAACCGAGCCAGAACACGAAGCAACAGCTGGACCGGGAGAAGAGGAACAGGTACCCCACCTCGACCAGTCCTGCAAAAAAGCATCCACCGTGGACGCCTCGCAGGCGGGTAAGGGCGCCACATAAAATGGGCAACACCTAGACCACGCCGACTTGAAGACGTCCATGGCCAGGAGTCCATACGTCCGGCAGAGCCAACAAAACGAGTCAGCAACGACTAGCTAATCCGTGAACAGAGGAATGAATCGAGACAGCTGTCCGCCAAGACACAGGACACACCCCAGACATGAACCTCATGGTTAGCCAAACCCCGAGAATCCAGCAAACGAGCCACTCTAAGGAACCAACCCCAAAGGTCAATACCTAAGAGAAACCCTGTGGTTCCGGCAAAGAACCACCAGAGAACAGTCCGAATGGAACTGAATGGTAGAGCACCGAGTGACCCAAACCCTCCAAAGCGCAAACCAGACAGCCACGAACTCCCGAACCGTGTTGTGAGCCCAACGGATGGACAGGCCGCACCATCTCCGGCCGACCTGGTGAGCACTGGTCACAAAGCCCCAGCTGAGAGAAGACTTGTCCGTGAACACATCGAGCGAAGGCTCAGGGAAGTGCCAAGACACGGAACCCCGAAAACCCCAAAGAGGAAGCTGGTGAAGCAGCACCAACACAAGTTCCCCGGAGGAACGAACCCAACGATTGCAAGAGAGGCGGAAGGGAAGTCTCCGAAGTAACCAAACAGATACCGAAGCCAAACCCGATCCCGCGGGCAGACCAGCACGTCGAAGTTCAGACTCCCGCACAACTGCACGGGCAACCCGGGACCCCCTCATGAACCCCCTCATTAACCTTCCACGACACACATTTGGTGTTCCTGCACATTATATTTTTTGAAAACCCTTGGATTTTTGGAATGATACACAAGCAAGGGTTTAATTTTCAAATCGCCACTCACATTACCACACAACACAAGAGTAAACCGTCTTTCCGTAAACCGTAGACTCGTAAACTGTAAACAATCTTTCATAGGATTGTGTCCGGGCAATGACTTCTCCTTGGTAATGTGTTTTCTTTGGCAATCTTTTCCAGAATAGCCCTGTCTCGTCACAATTAAACACTTGTTGTGGTAGGTGTGCCTCACTCTGCACAAAATCTTTAAATTCACCAATGAATCTTTCAGCCGCTGGTTTGTCTGAGCTGGCAGCCTCCCCATGCCTCACAACACTATGAATTCCACTTCTTTTTCTAAATTTCTCAAACCATCCCCTGCTCGCCTTAAACACGTTCACTTCTGCATCACTCGTTCCAGGGATTTTCTTTAAAAGGTCTTCATGCAATTTTCTTGCCTTTTCACAAATGATGGCCTCTGAAACGCTATCACCCGCTAACTCCTTGTTGTGTATTCAAATTAATAATAACTGTTCAACATCCTTAAGTGTTTGTGTTCTATGTTTCATGATTATTGATACACCTTTTGCTACTTTAGCACTCAGGTCCTTTTTCTTAGCCAGTATGGTGGATATCATTAACTGAGATTTGTTGTACTGCCTAGATAATTCAGCAACCCGCACACCATCTTCATATTTATGAATGATCTCTTGTTTCTGCTCTATGGTCATCCTTACATGGGTTTTCATATGTTGAGCCTTACCACTGACTTTCCTGGGACTCATGGCGTGATATATAATAATTACTTTTATGTTCAAAATGCAAAAAATCACCACAAAAGCGGAATTTCTTATAGGCACGATCGTCACTAAGCAAGCAGCTGTAGTAAACTGAGGCAGATCGGCCGCGTGACCGGGAACCACGAGCTCGGTTGACCCAAAAGTGTACCAACAAATATCGTTAGTCGACGACACCATCGTATGTAGAGTCGCATTTTTCGATCAAATTTACATCGTAACTCGAAATTATCGTAAGTCGAGGTGCCACTGTAGATGAAGTAGTGGAGAAAAACAAGAAAGATGAGGTAGCGGAGAAAAACAAGATGGATGAGGTAGCGGAGAAAAACAAGATGGATGAGATAGTGGAGACAAGCAAGAAGGATGAGGTAGTGTAAAAAAATAAGATGGATGAGGTAGTGGAGACAAGCAAGATGGATGAGGTAGTGTAGAAAAATAAGACGGATGAGGTAGTGGAGAAAAACAAGATGGATGAAGTAGCGGAGAAAAACAAGATGGATGAGGTAGCGGAGAAAAACAAGATGGATGAGGTAGTGGAGACAAACAAGAAGGATGAGGTAATGTAGAAAAATGAGATGGATGAGGTAGTGGAGAAAAATAAGATGGATGGAAAAAACAAGATAGATGAAGTAGTGGAGAAAAACAAGATAGATGAAGTAGTGGAGAAAAACAAGACGGATGAAGTAGCGGAGAAAAACAAGATGGATGAAATAGCGGAGAAAAACGATGATAGATGAAGTAGCGGAGAAAAACAAGATGGATGAGGTAGCGGAGAAAAACAAGGTGGATGAGGTAGCGGAGAAAAACAAGATGGATGAGGTAGCATAGAAAAACAAGATAGATGAAGTAGCGGAGAAAACCAAGATGGACGAAGAAGTGGAGAAAGACAAGATAGATGAAGTAGCGGAGAAAACACGATGGATGAGGTAGCGGAGAAAAACAAGATGAATGAGGTACACTGCTACAATGTACCTATTAATAATATCACCTTATCTGTTAGATTAAGGTTCTGCCTGAAATGCTATGCATGTTAGTGGCTTTGCAAGAATGTAATGTAAGATAGTGATTAACAAGAAGGATGAGATAGTGGTAAATAATAAGACGGAAGGAATAGATTAATGAGATGGATATGGCTGAAATGCTTTGCATGTTAGTGGCTTTGCAAGAATGTAAAAAATACCAATATTATTTAATCTACACAAATCCATTGCACCTTCTTGTAAATATATATATATAGTGGGGAATAACAAGATGGATGAGGTAATTGTGAATAGCAAGGTGGATGAGATAATGGTGAATAATAAGATGGATATATGAGAGAAGAGATGGTGGCAGCAGAGCACACAACTCACCGGAACTAATGGGAGGACAGCGGTCACACGTCAGGCCCCAAGCAGCACCAGAAGAACAGCAGCACTCTTTCCTGAGGATCCTGACTGGCCGAGGTTCCAGACATATACCTAGCAGTGCATACAAATATTGTAATTCATAGGCAAAAATTATTAATTAAAATATATTTGTAAATAGACTATATATTTAGCTAGAGGGAAATACCTGTAGATACCTGAATAAACTCATTGAACACTAGACTTTTAGACAACAACCAACAGCAACAGAGTATACGTGCACGCTACGCTCCTCACTCTAAGCTGTATATCAGCCCTTAAACTTACGCCAGATGATGTAGACCACCACCCACAGGCAGCTAAGTACATGGAGTCCAAGCATGTTATAGCAAAACCAAAGTAACCGACCAAAATCAACTCATTCCATCTCAAATAAGTTTCAAAACAATCCTCTACGGTGTGAGTACCAGTGCATGCTGCCGCCACCGCGCTGCCTGACGCAAGTTTCTTCTCAACATATACCCCCCAGTCCATTCTAACCAATCATGTCTCCTAAAAATGTGACTGTGCAGGGAAATAAGGGCATCAAACACCTTAACAAGACATCCATCCCGGCCAACTCTAACAATATCCGTGTTTCTCCGTCTGGAAGCTCTGGGGTCCGGGGTGGCGGGGCTGCCCTCCCCTCCACCCCATTGAGCAAGGGAGCAGAGTCCTCTCAACCCTCTCCTATGACCATGCTAGCATCCCAGTATAATCAACTCAAGCGAGCTTCCGGTCCCTCACCGGAATTCACTAACTGGACCGAGAATCAGTGGTTCAAAAAGTTGTGCCTAGTCCTCGAGTCACAAAATACTATCATCTTGAGTCTTCTCAACGAGAATCTAGCGAACCGCGCTAATCTCCAACAACAACAACAAGAAATAACCCTCCTCCGCGAGGATATTAGAAACTATAAGGCTAGCCAAGACCAACTACAGCATGATTTGAATGATCTCCATGAGGAAAACAACCTTCGGAAAACTGATGAAGCCTTAAAAAACAGGAGGAAGCTCTCAGCAAAATGACTGCATGTATCAGTACATTTTCAGCCCAACGTTCCGTCTCCCAGGAGGAACAAGACCAGCAAAAGCTGCTAGACTCTGTTATCGTGTCGTCCCAAGATATACCTGTGGAACATGAAGGTGAAAATTGTGTCGAAATAGCTCAGGATCTCTTAAAAAACAAATTGCAGCTCAGTCTAAACAAAACTGACGTTATTGCTGCCTACAGAGTAGGCAAAAAGAATCCATCAGGTCTAAATCAACGGAAAATTCGCCTGAAGCTGTCTTCCCAGTTCACGAAATCCCATCTAGTCCGGACAGCTGCATCCCAACGGAAGGGATTATACATCAACGAGTGCTTGACCAGGAACAGACAACAAATCCTCTACCGCCTGCGTCAAATCCGTCAACAAAACCCAGATGCGATTCATCAGTGCTTCGTTAGAGATGGTCTGATAAAGGTGAGAAAAACCGCAGAGGGCAAAATGTTTACAATTACTAGAGAAAAAAACCTCAACACTTTCCTCTCCCAATGTGGTTTGTCTCACCTTATCACTCCCAATGAATTAACTTAATTAACCCCCTGTCAACTAGTGGGGCTAGGTATCCTAAGTCTCCTTGGTTCATTTTCTGACTTAATTTTTAACTTACTCTTACCTAGTCATTTACCAAAATTATTTAATTGAGTGTATTAAGTAGTTCTTCAGGTCTTTTTAATTATACAGTCATTACTGAACTATCTATAGTTATTAATCATTAGCTTAAATTTGCCTATGTTTATTATTCAACTTTTCTTTGATTTCATTTATTACCTAGGTTGCCTAGCCTCGCCATGCTCCCTTACTCCATTGTACCCCTGGCTTTGCCTGCATCTCAAATTGCAAATTGTTACTTACAGTGTACCTGAGAGTACTCGTAAGCAATCTACCTCATTTTTTCTTTTTTTTCATTTTTGCTCAATTTGTTTTTTTTTTTAGTCTTGCTTATATTTTTTGTTTTGTATTTCTATATCTTGTGTTTTGTATAGTCCACGTTTACATGTTTTTTCTTTAATCTCATTAATTGCCTAGGTTGCCTAGCCTAGCCATACTCCCTTACTCCATTGTACCCCTGTAAGCCCCTTTTGTGTTTGTTTTGTACAGTATTGTGTATATATTTTTCCCTATTTTATAGCTTATTTCTACTTATTTCTGATTCTACAATCAGCTTTTTTTATCCAGACAAGTATAGACCCAGAACTTAACCTCTTATCCACTATCTATGACAATAATCACTTTAATGATCTAAATTGCAGATATTTTGCAGCACATGATGTAAACAATGTATTAACTCATAATCACAATATCTCTGTAATCAATTTGAACGTTAGATCCCTAGGTAAACACTTCGATGATGTTAGTGCCTTGATTGAAACTATTGGCAACAAATTCTCTTTTATTATACTTACTGAAACATGGTTGAAAGAGGATACTACTCAACTCTTTAACATGCCTAACTACTCAGCAATTCACAACTGTCGCCAACTTCAGAGAGGTGGTGGCACTGCTCTTTACTACCACCAAGAACTAACATGCTTAAAAGAAATTAGAACTAGAGACTGCTATGGGGAGTATATCTTCGCCAGCTTCAGAGTCAAGGGTGCCGAGTCTGTCCTGTCTGTGGGTGCAGTCTATAGAATTCCCAACACTGATGTGTCTGAATTCAACTCAAACCTTAGAAATCTAATACTTGATAACAGACTGAACAAAAACCACCTAATTATCGCAGGGGACTTTAATATTGACCTCTGCGAGCCAGAACACCCTACTGCTGTTAGCTTCCTCAACTGTATGAATTCCTGCTTCCTCATACCCTTAATCACTAGACCTACTAGAATCACTGATAGCACTGCCACGACTCTAGATCACATCTGGACCAACATAACCTCTCCGCTTACTTCAGGTATAATCACCGATAGCACTACAGACCACTACCCCACATTTCTCTTAACTAACATTAGCACACCACCTCTAGAAACAAGGGAGTTAAGCTTTAGGCTGCACAATGAAACTGCTATAAACAATTTTATAACTGCTGCTGATAATGTCAACTGGGAGTCCGAGTTAGGTAACATAGGGGACATCAACCTAGCAGTGCAATCTTTTCTACAAACAACTCTTAGCCTTTATAACACCCACTGTCCTAGGCTTACAAAACAAGTCACAAGCAAAAGGCTTAACAATCCTTGGCTTACAAAGGGAATACTGAAATCCATTAACAAAAAACACGACCTTGAGAAGAAGTATAGGTTAGGAATTGTCTCCAAAGAATTCTCAAAGAATTACTCATTATTGCTATCTAAGATAATTAGACGAGCCAAAACTAAATACTACGAAGATAAATTTACTCAAATAAAGAGCAACATTAAACAAACTTGGAGCACAATTTCACAAATATTGGGATCAAAGAAATCTTTAAATAACAAACCGACTCTCCTGTCTAATAACGATGGTCAGCTTTCAGCCTCTGATTCTGCTATTGAGTTCAATAGGTTCTTCTCTTCCATTGGTTCATCCCTTGCAAATGATATTCCATCTTCCAGTACTGACATTAAGGACTATCTTACAGGTAACTATCCACAGTCTCTGTACCTAAAGCCTATTAACTCCACTGACGTCAATGAGATAATCCTTTCCCTTAAAACCAAGTCTGGTGCCCTTGAGGAGATACCAACTTTAATTTACAAAAAAGCCTCCAGATCTTTAGCCCCTGCTATTGCTTTGCTCTTCAACAAGTCACTTGAACTCCAAACCTTTCCAGATATTCTAAAAAAAGCGAGAGTAACGCCTGTCCACAAATGTGGTGACCCCACAGATGTTAACAACTACAGACCTATATCAATCCTGCCAAACTTGTCAAAAATTTTTGAAAAACTTATATATAAGCAGCTTTACTCATATCTAGCCAAACTCAATATACTTAGCCCTTGCCAATATGGCTTCAGACCCAAAAAAAGCACTAACGATGCACTTATTAGTATGCTTAACTCGATTCATACAGCTCTTGATAAAAAGGAGTTCCCTGTTGGGTTATTTGTGGACCTGCGTAAAGCTTTTGATACTGTCAACCACCATAACCTTCTTCTTAAATTACATCATTATGGAGTCAGAGGACACTCCCTACAGTACCTCGAGTCCTACCTTACTGACAGGCTCCAATATGTTTCTGTGAATAATACAATTTCTCCCACCCTACCCATCAACATTGGTGTTCCTCAGGGCAGCATACTTGGCCCTCTCCTCTTTCTCATCTACATTAATGACCTTCCAAATGCCTCCCAACACCTCAAACCAATTCTATTTGCTGACGACACAACCTTCATTTACTCCAGTCCTGACCCTCTTGCTCTAAATGCCACAGTAAATACTGAGCTAAATAAAGTCCATCTTTGGCTAACTGCCAACAAACTCACCCTTAACATTGACAAAACTTTCTATATTCTGTTTGGCAATAAATCCTCTAGTCATATAAATCTCAAAATAAACAATACCCAAATTTGTAACAAATTAGATGGCAAATTCCTTGGCATTCTCATTGACCACAAGCTGAATTTCCAGGGACACATTCTAAATATATCAAAAAAAGTTTCAAAAACTGTGGGCATTCTTTCTAAGATCAGATATTATGTACCACGCCCTGCCCTGGTGACTCTCTATTACTCCCTTATCTATCCTTATCTCAACTATGGTATTTGTGCTTGGGGTTCTACTACCCAAAATCACTTACGTCCTCTAATTACCCAACACAAAGCTGCTATTAGAACAATATCCAACTCTGGCCCCAGACATCACTCGGTACCCCTACTCAAATCTCTGAATATGTTAGATATTAAGTCACTGCACATTCTCTCATGTGTATTATACATATATAAAACGCTAAACTATAATGCCAATCCTGATCTTAAAAGCTTCATAGAAGGTTGTAACAGAACCCATGAGCACCACACCAGAAATAAATACAGTTTTGATATTCCTAGAGTACGTCTTAATCAAACTAGAAATGCTCTGCAAATCAAGGGGCCCAGAATGTGGAATGACCTTCCCAACCATGTTAAAGACTGTACCTCTCTCAACCAGTTTAAGATAAAAACTAAACACTACCTAATAAATTCCCTGTAATCTACCTCACTCCTCTATTGTCAACCCATGTCTGTTATTTTTTTTTTTTTTTTTTTTTTTTTTTTTTTTTTTTTTTTTTTTAATCAACACTGTTTGTCAACCTATTGTATTTGTGCTGCTTTTTCAGTCATGTTCCCCCTTTTTTTATCTTTATTTGTATTTGTTCTCAACACTTTTTATTCTTTATGCTCAATTAGTATTAAGTTCTAGATATTTATGTTTTTCTTGCCCGAAACGCATTGCGTAATAGTGGCTTTAGGCATTGTATGTACTAGCTCTATCTATATATCAATCCATTAATGTAACATCACTTGTATGTATATACCTTACCTGAATAAACATCTGAATCTGAATCTGAATCATTACAGTATTTTCTGGGGAGAGCCCCTTCGGCTTCCTGTGGCTATACTGAGCTGATGTGCATATATTAGACTGTGGCAACAGTCAATCAATGGAGTTCTATGCCTACTGTGGACCAGAGCCAGAACCTGGCCCTCCACAAGAAGAGGCACGAGCTGTGGGAACCGACCTATGAGATATATATTTATTTAATTTATATATTTCGATAGCAATTTGTATGATGTTTAGCGGACTGCATTTCTGCAAATTCTTACAAATCGATCCTTACACATTAGGAGGGGGGGTTTAACACTTCGTCCAAGAGAATTATAGGAGCAGAATTTGCTCCAACGACTCGGTCTTTTTTAACAACAATGGCTGACCTCCCTCACCACTGATGCTTCTGGCTCTCTTTGTCCAGATGTCAATAAGTGATAGAAGGGTCACATTTACTCTATTTTAATACTGATAATTAAGTTAATTCAAATGAGATGTTTTCATGATGTAATAAGTCCAAAGACTACTGTATTTAAGAATAATTCCCAACAGAATAGCTGGTGAATTTATAGTACTATGTGGCAATGATATCCCATTTTCTATTGATGGAAAATTCCACTATAAGCTACATTTTCTATGGGTTAACTTGTGTATACAACAGCTACAATATTATCTGCCTATTGTATTGAATATTAGTAAATGGTGTCGGGTTTTCCGACACGAGGAGCAATGGCCTAAAGACACCCCCATGTAATTGGAAGCAGTCTTTGTCTGCCATCTATCAGGTCAGGAATCCAGAAAGGTAGGAATTCCAAAACAAACTACTGCTGGTCAAAAATTGCAAACTGAAAGCTGAACTAGCAAGCAAAACTCCCCAATCAAAAACAAGCAAACAAGTGATGCGCAGTGGTTGTGACGTCATCACAATTGCTGCACATCTGTCTGCACAACCCCACCCCCACCCTCACCGGGTGGGGAACGGGGAGTTTTCCAAATCTCCCCGCCAGCTACTCTCCTTAGTTCAGAAGGCTGTTGTGTTGGTGATGGATGTCGACTCTGGCTCCACTCTTTGCACAGTGCTGCTTAGCGATGTATTCACCTAGTTATTCTTGTGGGGGTTGAGCTTTGCTCTTTTGGCCCTCCTCTCAAGTGTCAATAAACTGTTATTACTACAGTACTAACTAAATTTTTTTTTCCCCACACACACACAGAGCCGAAGAAATATAAGAAAATTCACTTTCGCAAACAGAGTGGTAGACAGTTGGAACAAGCTAGGTGAGAAGGAGGTGGAGGCCAAGACTGTCAGTTGTTTCAAAGCGTTATATGACAAAGAGTGCTGGGAAGACGGGACACCATGAGCATAGCTCTCATCCTGTAACTACACTTAGGTAATTACACACTACTGTAATTCATTGTGTCGGTGAACAGGAAGCCAGAGTGTATTTATACACGTGAGGCTTTTATCGAGTTCCCTTCCCCCCCCCCCCACACATCATCGAATTACTGAACCCCTGCCTAGGGATATAACCCCACAACAAGCTGACTAACTTTTGAGTATCTACTTACTCCTAGGTGAACAAGTCATTAGGTGAAAGGAAATGTGCCCAACCCATTTCTGTCTCACTTGTGATACGAACCCGGAATTCTCGATTGTGCGTCGAGAATGAACTCGACTGTACTACAGGGACCCTCAATATATATCCACTTACCCTGCTCGTATCTCTCATAACACTCTTCCTGGCGACGGTCAGTACACTTTGTGCCATCTGGACTAACTTCAAAACCAGGAGGACATATGCATTGGAACGTGCCTCGACCATTGACGCAATTACCATTGTCACAGATGTCCTCAACAGTGGCACATTCATCAATATCTGGAATTTAAAAAATTATTACTGATTAGTTGATTTCACTAAGGACACTAATAATTTGGGATGATAAATTTTTAATTTGATAAGCTTCCATGACTATGAAGGGTTCCAACAACCTTGCTGGCTGGTGGTTGGTTTCCAGTCAGGCTGGCCAGAAGGTAGGCTTATAGGTTAGCAGCCTGGCTTTCAGGTGGGCAGGCTGGCTGGTAACATGCATACCCAGAGCTCAGTATTTCTGAAGTAAAGTGCATATTTTTTACTCTTTGTTTTAAAATATGGCATATTTTTGGAATCTCAAAAGTATTATAATAGCTTCACCAATCTGTTATCATATTTAAAATCATAATACAAGGAACATACATAGGGTACATTAGGTTGTGGACAGCTATACCTATTACTTGTTGAAGATTCCAGGGATCAGTGTCCTCCCACAGCCCAGACTCTGACCATGACTCCTGGTTGCTGGTCTGATCAACCAGGCTGTTTGATGCGGTTGCTCACAGCCTAACATATAAGTCACAGCCTGGTGTATCAGACTAGGCCATAACTGATTTATCAGTGGACAGAAACTGTATATGATGGGTTTGTGTACAGTTAAATAACTCGCCAGGATATCTTTACGCTCCCTGATATGCGAGCTCCATCAGTTTCCTCTTTGATTTTAATCAATTTTAGTTGGTTTCTGGCAAGTCAGGTGTGAAGAATGATTAGGCAAAAGCCAAACAGATACTAAATTAATGTATAAATTCACTCAGTTGTATGACTGCAATCTGATTCTCACCTGTCAAGTAAATTTATCTGCCATTTTTACTTTACCCTGAAGGAACATAAAAGTTAACAGAATATACCATAATGAAAAAAACACAAAAATTATCTAAAATTTTGTAAGCTATTCAAACCTTCATAAGATTTGGCACTGTGCCTATTGTGTCTCCTTGATAATTTGGCTCAAGTTAAATACATTCTCCACAGTATGAACTGTCCCAGTGGGCACTATTGGATGAAAGTGCCTAACATTACTTGTACACACTAAATAGTAATTACCCAAGTGTAGTTACAGGATGAGAACTATGCTCATGGTGTTCCATCTTCCCAGTACTCTTTTGTCATATAACACTTGAAACTACAAACTGTTTTGGCCTCCAACACCTTCTCACTAAACTTGTTCCAACCGTCTATGATTCTGTTTGCAAAAGAAAACTTTCTAATATTTTCTTGGCACCTTTCTTTCCTTAGCTTGAATCTGTGTCCTCTTGTTCGTGAAGTTGCTAGTTTCAGGAATTCCTCTTTGTCAATTTGGTTCATTCCTGTTAATATTTTGTAAGTTGTGATCATATCACCTCTTTTTCTACTATCAATGCCTCTACGCCTCTAGTCTCTCCTCGTAACTCTTGCTTTTCAGTTCCGGATGTCATTTTGTAGCATGCTTATGCACTTTTTCCAGTTCATTCATGTGCTTCTTGTGATATGGGCACCATACAACTGCTGCACATTCCAGTTTTGGTCTCATACAAGTCATGAACAGTTTCTTTAGGATTTCACCCTCCATATAAAAAAAAACAGCGTTGAATATAATGAAACATCATTTTCTGGGTGAGCCCTGGAGGCTCCCTGGAGCTATCAGGCTAATATGCAATACATTAGACCAGGGCATTAGTCAATGGAGTTCAGCCTACCGGGGACCACAAGCCAGAATCTGGCCCCCCTCAGAGAGGTACAGGAAGCAATGGCCCTGGAAAACAACCCTGTGGTTGGGGTTTTTCCTTATCTGCCATCGACCGGGGTTAGGCACCCAGTAAGGTTGGCACAACAAAACCTGACCCTACATGGTAAGAAAATGGCAACTGAAAACTGAACAGAGGCAGAACTTCCTCAATTCCCAAAGAAACAAGTAAACAAGAAAACGTCACACCACGCCGCCGCTCCGCTCGTCTGCGCACCCCGGGACTCAGCGCCGGCTACCCAACCTCAGTTCGGAGGCTAAGCATAAAAAACAGATTGAAACCAATGACAGGAGGGATGGAGTGTGCGTGGAAGCCTCCAGGGCTCATCCAGAAAATGGCGTTTCATTACATTCAATGCTGGTTTTCTATGGTGAGCCCCTCCAGCTCCCTGGAGTTACATAACCAACGATAAGGAAAAGAGGGACTTACCAGGGAGGCAGCTGCTACACGCTTCTCAACTCGGAGGCGAGACAATTGGCTGCAACCTGAGACCCAAAGCGACACACGAATGCCCAGGACTAGGAATGTTGGCCAAATAACGAGCGGCCAGGAGCCTGTTCGACCTCCAAAATCCCTGTGCCCAAATAACAGCTCAAAACATGTTGCCTTAATAACCCTGGGAGACCTGAGCCCAGGAATAGGGAACGAGGGAAACCGAATTAACCTTAAGCATAGCCCCAGCCACAGAAGCCGAGGCGCGCAGGTAACGGCGAAGAACTGCAATCTGCAACCATCCTTTTAACTAAAAAAAAAAAAAAAAAAAAAAAAAAAAAAAAAAAAAAAAAGCTGCAACCCCAGCCTAACCAACAAAGCATCAATGACCCAAGGACCCCTCCGGAAAGCAGCCGTTTTGTTCTTTGCGAGAAAAAAGGGAGAAGGTTGCAAACGAACAAACCAATTACCAGGACCGAAAGAGCAGAAACCCCCTGCGCCGGAGGAGAGCATGAAACTCGCCAACTCGACCGCCAGAGGCAAATACCAACAGAAAGAAAGCCTTGGAAAAACAATCTTGTTCCGAAGGAGCCACCACAAATTGAAGAGAAGAGATAGAAGAGCACCCTGTCCAAGGACCAGGATGGCTCAGACGGCGCATGAGCAGGCTGGAGGTGAAACAAACAAAGCACAAGAAAGCTTACAAAACAAGGCAGAAGTAACATCTATCCAGAACGCAAGCAGGAGCTGCTCCACCAGTACCACACAATACGAGGAGAATATCAAATAACTGTCCTGAAAAAGCCAAGAAAGAAAGTACAAGACAGACAACCCAATAAGAAATATAAGGCAACCTATGATGAGAGAGAAAATGGCGGAAAGAATGCCAAGAAACTTCATACTGTCGCCGAGACAAAGCTCTCAGGTGGGACACCATCAACGAAGTCCCCTGATCACCATATAGATGAAGATAAACCTGCGTAAAAAAATCAGACGCGAAGAGCGGAGGAGAAGACTAAACCAGCCAAGCACCGGACCGGTCCGATCTGCTTGAAGAGACAGAAAATGCCCTGGGTTCAGTCACTAAGCAAGCAGCGCCTGAAACCAAGGCTGGGCCGGCCACCAAAGGGGCACTAGGATGACTCTCTTGTGGTAAGACTCTAACAGAGCTAGAACCCAAAGTAACAGCTGGACCGGGGGGAAGAGGTACAGGTAACCCCACCTCAACATGTCCTGCCAAAAGGCGTCCACTGCAAACACTCCACAGACGGAGAAGAGAGCCACAGATATCAGAAGACGCCAACACCACGCCAACGCAAAGAGGTCCACCTCTGGGAGTCCATACATCCAGCAGAGACAACTGAAGGAGTCGGCGTTGAACGTCCATTCCGTGGATAGAGGAATGAACTGAGACAGGCCACCCGCCAGGTCGTTGGACACTACCCAGATGTGATCTGCGTGGAGAGCCAAACCTTGAGAAACTAGCAGACGAGCCACTCGAAGCTACCAGCCCCAAAGAGGCAAGGACTGAAGAGAACCCTTACGGTTCAAGCAATAAACTACTAGAGAACAGTCCAAATGGAGCTGGATGGTCGAACCCCGAGTGACCCAAACCCTTTGAAGCGAAAGCCAGACCGCCATGAACTCCCGCACCATACTGTGAGCCTGACGAAAGGATGGACCCCACCGCTCCTGGTCGGCTTGGTGAACACTGGTCACAAAACCCTAGCCGAGAGACCACGAGTCCGTGAACACATCAATAGAGGGCTCGAGTAGGCAGCAAGGCACTGAATCCTGAAAAATTTCAAGAGGAAGCTGGCGGTGCAGCAACCGACGCACGGCCCCCGGAGACTGAACCCAGCAATCGCGAGAGAGGCGGAAGCAGCATCCCCGAAGGAACCAGAACAGACGCTGAAGCCAAACTCAACCCAGTGGGTAAACCAGCTCAGCGATGTTCAGTCTCCTTCGCAACCGCTGAGTGACCCAGGACCCCCCAGAAACAGCTGAAGGTGGCACCGCAGTCGCAGCAATGTCTTCAGAGGGAGAGACATGTTAGCGATCCAAGAATCCCAAACAAGACCAAGCCAGGTGCAAACCTGGGACGGAACCAGATGGGACTTCCTCCAGTACACCAGAAACCCGAACCCGGCAAGCTGGGAAAGAACCACACCCCTAGCAAGCAGACAAGCAGACCGACTGGAAACCTACACCAGTCAGTAGTCGAGGTAGGCCAGAACCCAAACCTCTAACAGATGCAGACGGGTCACCACGACCTAGGTAAGATGCGTGAATATGTGAGGTGCCATATTCAAGCCAAAAGGAAGGCAACAAAAACTGTAAGCCTAATGCCCCACCACGAAACCTAACCAGTCCCTGAACCGGAGCCGGACCTGAGACAGAGTGGTCATCCGAAAGGAGGGGCAAGGAATTCAAGGCTTCAGACTGGGACAAGTCCAGAATGAATCACAGATCCGCACAGTCCCGTTTCGGAACTGAAAACAGGTGGAAAACCCACCTGAGGGATGTCGTCGTTTCAACCACGCCCAAGCGAACCCACTCTTGGATGATCTGACAGAGCACAAGAGAAGAGGCCTGCCCTGCTAGCCCCGATCCCCCCCGAAGGAGGAGGGACCCAGCGCCACCGCAGGTCTGAGGAAACGACTCAAAATGAGCACAAATCGTGGGGCCAGGCGAGAGCAAACAGTGCGAGCCTCCCCCCTATCGCCCTGTCAACGGGGCAACCCGCAAAAGGGCCGACGACCCCTACAAAAGCCCAACCGACGCTAAGAGTGATCACTGCGCTGACCAGACATCGATGGCTCCAGAGGAGGTACTGGCCCCGAATCT